AAAGTAAAGGTATTATTTGATTTACAAAGTGGCTATTAAGATTTAATATGATAAAATACCTAGTTCAGTTTCTCAAAGCCTAACAACTGCTCAATAATTATTATGATTTTACCCAAAGTCACAAAACCTGTTGGCAGAGCTGGTACTGGAACCCAGGTGTCTTGACTATTGGTTGATGTACTGCCCTTTCCAAGGCTGCACTGTTTCAAGGCTTACATTTAAGTCATGTTAAAACTAAGATTCAACTCCATTGGTATACAATATGGATGGACATATGCATATGACTTCAACTAAACCAAGGTCAAGGTCTGTGAATAAATTGATTGGCCATATTTCATTCAGCCCCATCTTCAGAAAGTCACTTCCATGACCTGAGTAAGAATGAATCAGGTATGATACTAAACTGTTTATTAAACCACTTCTATGTAATTATCTCTCTTTAACCTATTTCTGTTCTCTCTGGAGGACATAACTAGATTAATTCCAAAATTCACCTTTGATATTTTTATGTTCATACACGAAGTACAGCACATTGATAGACCATTATATAAAGGGAATTTGTGAATCTCAAACAAGAAGAAATGCACATGTAGAGCTTTTCTCCCTATGCAGTACCCACCCCCTTAAAAAAAAAAAAGCACTGCTTTTGTCCAGTTGGTAGACCATATTTAGTGGAGTATGTCTGACGACCCTTGGGAAAAATCAAAGAAGTTCTTTTCTCATTGGATGGGATATAATCTCTGTTTTTTGATTGGGAAGTTTAATCCATTTACATTTAAAGTAATTACCAATAAGGAGGGCCTTACATCTGTCATTGTGCTATTCATTTTCTATATGCCTTATAATAGCTATTTTGTCCCTCATTTCCAGCATTACTGTCTTATTTTGTGTCTGGTTGATTTTTTTTTGTAGTGAATTGTTTAAATTCATTTCTCATTTCCTTTTCTGTATACTCTACAACTATTTTCTTTATGGTTACCATCAGGATTATATTAAACATCCTAAAGTTATAACACTCTAATTTGAATTTATACCAGCTTAACTTCAATAATATTACAAAAACTCTGCTCCTTTACAGCTTTGTTTCCATCTCTTTTCAGTTGTTTTTGCCACAAAATTACATCTTTATATATTGTATGCCAAAAAACATAAATAAATATTTTAAATGTGCTAGTTTCTTAAATTATGTATAAAGCAAGATTTGCAGTTACAAACCGAAGTTAGAATAATACTAGCTTTTACATAGAAATTGTTTTTTCTTTAAATGTATTAATCTCTTATCATGTAGAAAACAAAAAGTACAGTTACAAGCCATCATTACAATTAATTTTTAAATTTTTGTGTATTTGAATCAATCAATACTTTCATTTATAGCTTCAGATTTTGACTCATCCTTTAATTTTTTTTAAGTTTATTTATTCACTTTGAGAGAGACAGAGAGAGAGTGGGGGGGAGGGCAGAGTGATAGAGAGGAGAATCCCAAGCAGACTCAGCACTGTCAGTGTAGAGCCCGATGCAGGGCTCGAACCCACAAAATGTGAGATCGAATGTGGTTTCTGAGCCGAAACCAAGAGTTGGACGCTCAACTGACTGAGCCACCCAGGCACCCTTTGACTCATCCTTTAAAAATCTTTTCCCTAACAGCTACACAAAAATCAATTCCAGACCTAAATGTAAAAGCCAAAATAACAAGGAAAGAAAAAATAACAGGAGAGTATCTTCATGACTAGGGGCAGGGAAAGGTTTCTTTTAAAGGACACAAAAGCAGATAATTAAACTTTATTAAAATTGGTAATTTTTGTTCATAAAAAGACCAACAATAAAAGAATGAAAAGGCAGACCCCAGAATGGGAGAAGATATTTTCTTCTCTTTACAGTGCAACAAAGAACTTGATCCCAAAATATCTATCTATATGTAAACCATCCTACAAATGAATAAAGAAAAGATAGTAACCGAATGTAAAAATAAGCAAAGCACTTAACAGGCACTTCACACAAAAAAGGATACCCAAGTGGTTGATAAACTTATGAAAAGATGCTGAACATAAACATCTTCAGGGAAATAATTGCAAATTAAAACCACATTTTGCTAAATGACACATAGCTAAGAGATTTAAATACAGACAGTCTGTTAACCTCTCTTGCTCTTTTTAGTAATATTTAAATTGAGAAAATTAATACCTGTCCTTAGAGGAATTTATAGCCTAAGTGAAATAACAGAAAACAGATAACTATGTACTGGACAGTGAATTGTGTACTAACTCCAGAGCTAGAGACACAGTGAGTACATTCTTTACCAAAAAATCAGCACAAATAGACTTAAAATGTTCTTAAGCCTTCCATCTTTTTCCAACAAGTTTTTTCTTGTTCTTTGTCAACTCCCCCTAATTCCAGGATGCCTGCTGCTGCAGATTAGCCCATTGAGAGTCTCAGTGCATAAAGTGACACAAACCAGACCCTTGGCCCTATAAATCTGTCCTCATCCTATCTCTCACTGAACACTTTTAAGAAGTTTAGCCCAACACATCTACCAATGTAAATAGCCTCTCTCCTCCCCATAATAGTTACCATTTAACTAAAAACACCATCTGATTTAATTCGTGTACCAATCCCATCAGGTGGGTATTATTTTCTCACTTAATAAATCATTCCCATTTTACAAGAAATTAGAGGCTTGGAGTGAATAATCCACTTATCCAAAGTCACAGAAATGACAGATTTTTAAAAAAATTAATGTTACATTATGTTTTAGTATATACACAATCAGGGGATGTAGACAACAGTAAATTTTTAATTAGGATGAAGAATAGAATTTATAATTGTAATCTAGACCTAGAGAAAAGCTAAGATTTACTGAACATTAGATAGATTTTTTTAATATTCAAAAAAAGCGCAATTTTTCACTTATTATTTTTCAGTCACTATGCCAGCTACCAAAGATACCAAGATAAGACTTCATAAATACCATCACCTTGGTCATTGGTTCTCAATGTACAGTTCCGAGATCAACAGCATCAGCATCACCTAAGAAACTGTTTAAAATTAATATTTTTAAGCAGCACCTACATTACTGAATCAGAAACTCTCAGGATGGTGCCCAGTAATCTGTGTTATGAATGTTGTAGGTGATCCTGATGCATGAGAAGCACTGCCCTAAATCATCACTCTAGTCTCCCAGGTGAGGAAATTTAGGAGGTGACTTGAGAGTATGGATCAAAACAAAGATTTGCTAGAAACCAGTCTCCACTATGCCAATAATAGAAATGATGGAGATGTAAATATAGGTTTATCCAACCCCAAAATCCACATTTTTTTTCAAGTTTATCTATTTAAGAGAGAGAGAGAGAGAGAGTGTGCACACACAGGAGAGAAAGAAGCCCCAAATCCACATTTTCTATCCCTGTGCTCCAATGACCCCTAACAACATGAGCTGTTATTGTCTTTATGGGTCTGGAGAAGTGGGTGCCCATGTCCCTCCTCATAGGCATGCTGTTGGCACCTTGATACTGCCATTGGCGTGGGGGGGGGGGGAGTCCTGGGGGGGGGTGACATAGCCCCTCCCTCTTAGAGAAAAATCTCCTTAAAAGCAAATATGTTGAGAAATGGAGTGGTGTGTGTAGAATTTGGGAGTTATGGGGGGAAGGGGTCCTCCAGAACTTTCACTTGATTGCCCCAGTAAGTCTGACCTCAGGTAAGTGAGACCCTGTCTTCTGAGTTTGCATCTCACCCATCCTTCCCCAGAGCTGTCACTGTGTTCCCTCATCTCTGACTTAGCCCCCCCCCCCCTCCACAGTAAGGCTACACTGGGACTATCTGGACCACCCACTGATGATTTCACCCACAATCTCAGCTTCCAGGCTGCTTGGGGTACTGTCCAGAAGGTGGGGCCGGTATTTGCTGAGTAGGAACGACAGAGGACAGGTAGCTGCTCACTCCAGCAAGGTTCCCCTGGTCCCCCACATGGCAGAGCAGACAGAGGCATATTTGTGTCCTAAATAGCTGATGCCTGTTGACAATGACATGGAACTGCCTTCGACTGAGTAGTTTCAAAGTTAGGCATTGATTTGAGGAGGCAGAATGCAGTAGGAGCCTGGGAAGCAAGAAGCCCTCGGAGCTCCACAATCCCAGCACAACCATCACCAAGCACCAGGCCAGTTCTAAATGCTTTACATGCATTAGCTCAGGTAATCCACACAGCAACGCCGTGAGATAGCTACTATTACCATCCACGTTACAGGTAAGGAAACACAAACAGTAACTTGTAATTTGCCCAAGGACAACAGCTAGAAGTACTCATTATTCATCTGTAAACCAGGGATACAAATGCCGGCCCTACACCTACAGAACTCAAGGAGTTTTGTAGTAACTCCTATGTATTGGTAATAAAGAGTATTTCTTAACCTGGAACTGTTACAGTTTTTTCCCCTTCCACCTTTTTAGACAGAGGAAAGTTCCTGGAAAAATCCAAAAGAAACTGGTAACCATGGAAGTGTCTCCACTCAAGGAAACTGAGTGGCTGGGGGACAGGATGGGAAATTTACTTTTCACTGTATTTATCAATATATTTAAATTAGATTTTACGTATGTATGTATGTATGTATGTATGTATGTATGTATGTATGTATGTATGTAAAGTCTGCTTAGCCCCAGGTGAAGCTGCAGCGAGCTAGGGTCCTTTTCCGACCGCACCAAGAAGGGCATTTTTAAATACGGAGTAAGGGAGGGAGTGCCCACCTTGACTTGGCGGCTTGACCGGCTTTGGAGGGTGGGGGCTTCGCAGCGCGCTGGTGGCCCCGCCTAGGCGGCTGGAAGAAAAGGCCGACCCCGGCCCCGCCCCGCCTCGCCAAATTTAAGAGCCCTCGTCCATCGCCGGGAATGCTCCTGGCCAACAAGTCTCTCTCCCTTTTGCGTGGTGCTCCCCCTCGTCCCTCGCGCTCCCTGCACGGCTGCCCACAGGCCGTGGCTTCACTCCCTGTGCCCGACAGGGCAGGGGCCGCGCCATGCCCAGCCCAGTGCCGCGAGGCAGCCGGCCGCCCGCTCCCCCGGGCGCAGGAGACGAGACCTCGGAGCTCCAGCGCCGCCCCGCGGGTCCAGGCAGGCCCCGCGCTCCCGGGCGCCTCGAGTCTTCCTTCTCCGTCGAGGCCATCCTGGCCAGGCCTGCCCGCCGCGCGCCCCCCGCCGCCGCCCCAATGTCCGGCGTCGCCGCGGACCTCGGCTCGGCTCCCTCCCGGTTTCCCGCGACGTGGCTGCCGGCCTACCTGAGCGTGAGTCTCTACCAGCCGTGCCCCCAGCTGCCCCGGACGGGGCTCCGCGTGGCTCACCTCTTCGGCCTCCAGGGCCTCGGCGTCCAGGGCCTCGGCGTCACAGGTACGAGCTGCTCGGGCGCCCGGGAACCGGGCGGGCGGCCGAAGCGTGGCAGCCGCGACAGCGGGCACAGGATAGAGACGTCCCTGAGTTTTGAGAACCACGCACGGTCGGTGGGAAGGGGGCCAATGACCCTTCACCTTGCCCTTGAACCCGAAGCCCAAGAGAGGGACTGGCCGAGAACAGACCACTGCACGAGGCTTCCCCCGCACGCACGCTGCTGAGGTGGGGGGAGATGTGTGTGAGCGCGCGGGTGCAGAGCAGAAGGTGCGGGGAAGGTCAGAGGGGGCCTCGGAAGACTGGGACAAGACCAGCCCTGGAGCTGCAGAGCGTCCCTTCTGGAGAATTAGTCTCTCGCTCCTTCCACAGCCCCTTTGAATAACGACTGTTAGCTTAGACTCTTCCCCAAACTAGCTCTCTTCTGGAACGCACGGCCCAGTTAGCTGGGAGAAGCGGCTGCTGCGGTGGTGAGGTTCATCGAAGAGCTGTTAGCTGGCAAATGCCGGCACCCCAGTACTGCCTCCACCGCTCACGCCCAGTCCGGGTGAGCATAAAGCCCCACACTTAACTGCTCTCTGAGTCTGCTTGCGTAACCCGTTCTTAAAAGAGGAACCTCGGGCTCTGGGGCTCAGGCACTTAAACCCCAAGGAGAATTTAACTGTGTACCTAACGTTCTCCTCTAGCATTTACATCCACCCACAGGAGCTTTTGCCATTTTTGGCAATCTGATTCACGGTTCCTCACCTCCCCTTGAGGAAAACAGGAGCAAGATTAACGCAAGCCTTGTCAACCCATACCAAGATCCATGTAACATAATCTTACCTGGTGCCTACTTCCTGGGTTCTCTCCATTCTGCATTTCCACCCCTTTCAGCTGGGCATTTCTCCACCCTTCCCTTGAGAGAAAGCCTAGGCTCTCAACCCTATCCAGATTCGTGCCACTGCATCTGAGCGACATGCCCAAGTTTCCAAAACAACTTTCCCTAACTGCCTCACACAGCTGAGGTCTGAATTGCAGCTTACTGCTTTGTATTACAGTTAATCTCATTTTCAAATTAGTTTTTTTTTTAATGTATGTTTGTTTGAGAGTGTGTGCTTGAGCAGGTATGGGGCAGAGAGAGAGAGAGAGAAGGAGAGAATCCCAAGCAGGTTCAGGCTGTCAGCGCAGAGCCTGACTCAGCACAAATCCCACAAACCGTGAGATCGTGGCCTGAGCCAAAACCAAGAGTTGGGTGCTCAGCTGACTGAGCCACCCAGGTGCCCCTCAGTTTCAAGTTAGTTTTTGCATAGGTAATCCATTCCTACAGTTCAAACTCCTGGCTGGCACCACAGACAGATGGAAAGAGTTTCCCCACCTATTCCCCAGTCACCTGGTTAACTCCACCCCACAAGAAGCCAATGACACCAGTCTCTTTATTCTTCCAGGGGTATTTTATGCATATTTAATACCTAAATACGTGTGTGTGTGTGTGTGTGTGTGTGTGTGTGTGTGTGTGTGTGTGTATCACTTTTTTTTAAACTTAGGCAGCTCACTGCTCAGCCTCTGGGGCACTACCTCCAGACTGGGCTCCAGCCGAGAACTTCAGGACACTGAGGGGAGCCTCAGAGGTTGAACCATGTTTAACTTGAAGCAGCGCTGGAAGAGTTGGAGAAAGTGTTTACAAAACAGCACAATCTAGTGGGGAAGAAGAGAGCCCAGCTGGCAGCCCAGCTCAACCACGAGGAGGAGGTGGGAGCAGGGACCCTGTGGGGTCAGGAGGGCTGTGCCTGGAGACGGAACACTGCTCCAGGAGGCCTGGAGGTGAGGGGTTGAGGGGAGAGGAGCATGAGCCCTTCTTCCTCTCTGTGCCTTGCCAGGTCACTGGGGAGACGGGCCCATCACTGGCACTTCCCTGCATGAATGAGGAAAGTAGTCCGTTTGAAATCACATGAACAACTATGTTAACCTGGTAACCTAGAACTTATGTTTCCATGTTAAAGGGAGGCTGACCATGAAGTTCAAGAGACTAAATATTAAAAATAATAATAATAAATATTCACTAGAACCCTATACTTCACTTGAGCTACTACACCACTTTTCTGCTCTTTTTCATAAAGCAAACTTCCATGTGAATTTGTTATAGTCGATCACTCCATGTCCTCACTTCCATCTAACTCATTCTGATAAGATTCTTTCCCTACCATCAAAACTTCTCCTCCAAGGTCTCTTAATGACCTCCATGTTGCCAAAGTCAACAGATGCTTTTTCCTCGTCTTATTCCCCCCACTCAGTACAGTTGACCTCTCCTCTTATGTAAACACGATTCTTCTCTTGGCTTTTGGACACCACATTCTTGGTTTTCCAGCTCTCTCTGGCCACTTCCTCTGTGTCAACTTTGTAGGGTACTCTTTGAGCCTCAAATTGTCTCATGAGATCTCATTTATTCCCACGGATTTTATTTTATTTTATTTTATTTTATTTTATTTTATTATTTTTTTAATGTTTATTCATTTTTGAGAGAGAGAGAGAGAGAGAAACTGAGCATGAGCAGGGGAGGGGCAGAGAGAGGGAGACACAGAATCCATGGGACTCAGGCTGGGCAGTCCCGAACTCACCAACGGTGAGATCATGACCTGAGCTGAAGTTGGATGCTCAACCAACTGAGCCACCCAGGTGCCCCATCATTTATTCCCATGCTTTTAAATACCATCTATAAGCCAACAACTCCCAGATTTGTATCTTAGCTCACTCCTTTTTTTCCTAACTTGTACATTTATCTACCTTCTTTTTTTTAATTTTATTTGTTTTATTTAAGTAATCTCTACACCCAACATGGGGCTCAAACTCACAACCCCAAGATCATGAGTTGCATGCTCTTCTTGACTGAGTCAGCCAGGCACCCCTACCTTCTTTTTTTTTAAAGTTTGTTTATTTTGAGAGAGCACACATACACGTTTGTGGGGGAGGGGCGGAGACAGAGACTCCCAAGCAGGCTCCACACTGTCAGTATACAGCATACGCAGGTTTGATCCCACCAACCGTGAGATCATGACCCGAGGTGAGATCAAGAGTCAGACGCTTAACCAACTGAGCCACCCAGGCATGCCTCTATCTACCCTCTTGAGGTCTCCACTTGGATGTTTCCTGGGTATGCATTTCAACTTAAGTCTAAACTTCAATTTGTGACCTTTTTCTCTCCAGATCTGTTCCTTTCCCTACTCATGGTCCCACCATCCATCCAGTTGCTCAAAATACCAAGTCATCCTACATTCTTCCTTCTCTCCCACTTCCATTGCATCGGCAAGCCTTGTCACCTCTACCCTCAAAGTACAGCTGGAATCGCTTCATTTTTTTCCATTGCCCGTAGTTCACACCAGTCCCAGCTCTTTCTGGATCATTGCAATAGCCCCCAGCTGTCTCCCTGCATCTCCTTTCATCCTTTCTTCACAGAGCAGCCAGATGTGCAATTCACTTGAGATGCAAACAGGACTATGTCACATCCCATTTAGTAGCCTGAAAGCTGACACTCCTTATCCATAGCCTCCATAGTCCTAGGTGATCTGGGCTCTGCTGACCTCTCCATTTTCCCTTCCTTCACTTCCCCATCTCACTCTCAGCTATTTCAGCCAGTCTCTTTCTTTTTGGTCCTCCAACACACCAAGCTTGGTTCTACCACAGAGCCTTCCTACAGGTTGTCCCCTGCCCCAGCCTGCTTTTCTCTGTTCCCATTAAACTGGCCTCTGGGGGCGCCTGGGTGGCGCAGTCGGTTAAGCGTCCGACTTCAGCCAGGTCACGATCTCGCGGTCCGTGAGTTCGAGCCCCGCGTCAGGTTCTGGGCTGATGGCTCAGAGCCTGGAGCCTGCTTCCGATTCTGTGTCTCCCTCTCTCTCTGCCCCTCCCCCGTTCATGCTCTGTCTCTCTCTGTCCCAAAAATAAATAAACGTTGAAAAAAAAAATTTAAAAAAAACTGGCCTCTGATCCGGTGAACCTTAGCGTAAGTGCTGCTTCCTCAGGGAGGGCCAGACCCCTGTTCATACTCACATTTGTGTTTATGGATTTGTTTCCATATTTATTTCTCTCTCTCTCTCTGGACTGTGACTTCCATGAGGTCAGGGACCATACCTCTCTTGCTCACCACTGTATCACCATCACCTAGGATGGTGCCTAGTACATAGTAGGAGCTCCATAAATACTTGTTGGATGAATGAATGTGTCTAAAATTATAGGGAAGGGTGTTTTGAAGGAGATGCTTCCTTTAGAAGGAAGATCAAATGTGGACCAGAGATCAGGGGCCACTGTGGGAATGGGGGAAGCAGTGGGAACTGCTGGTCACATTCTAATTTCTGACCATTGCCTCCAATTATAGGTGAGGGTCTGGTTCCAAAACCGCAGGGTCAAGTATCAGAAGCAGCAAAGGCTGAAGCTACCAGCTGTGTCTGCCATGGCTGCCTCCCAGGATGAGCCCTCCAGCAGCTCTGACAGCAGCATCCAGAGAGAAGACACTGAGTCAGGAGTGGACAGCTGAGGACTGGGACAAAGGCTCAACCCAGGCTGTCTGGGCTAGTTCTTCCTGGGGACACCCACGGGAACTTCTGAGCCTTTTTTCTTCATCTGTATAATGGGTGCATTGACAATTTACTCTTCCCAGAGCTGACAGGATGTCTGTAAAGCTGTTACGGGGTGCCAGGCCCAGTGCTAAGTGTTCAGCAAGTGTTAAGGTTTATAAGTTCCCTTCACCTGGGGGTGTGGTGCTTGCAACTGAACTGGCCCCTCCAGGGATTAATCTTTTCCTGGCTTGCCTGTGGAGAAGGGGCTTCCTTGAATCAGTATTTGGGCCTAGAAGCCTCTTCCCCACCAGAGATGGTGGATATGAGAGTAAAGAGGAGGGAAAGGTAAACCATTTAGCCTACTTCAGAGTTTCCCAAAGTTTTCTGGTTTTGTCTGAACTGCTACCACTTTTAGGAGCTCAGCCCCAATTGTCTGCTTAGGCACAGACATGCTTCCCTGACCCCATCTTTTTCCCTCTAGCTACCCACTTTGACCCCTCTCCATCATTGTACAGAGAAATTTGGCTCTGCCTTTGCCAAAGCAGGCATTTTTTCACAAACGCTGCTGTATTTCCATGAGACAGTTATAATTTTTCCCCTTCAAGCCCCTAACTCATGGTTCCCTTTCCTTCCCAGGAATCTGCTCCGTTTCTAAGAAGCCTGCTGATAGCCTACCCCTGTGAGGCCAGTCACCAGCAATTCCAGAGCTCATTTCTCTAGTGCTCTACATTCCTGGGCAGGCCTCTGTTCAGAGTATTGATTTAGAATCTCCAATGGCTTCTGGGTAGAGGGGAGCTGGTGAAAGGAGGCCTGCCCTGCCACCTGCCGGTGACAGAAGGCACGGTCCCCACTGCTGTCTGCTGTGTTCTGAGGGAGACAGGAAGGGCAGGGAGCAGAGGTGAAAAACCACATGCCTCCAAGTGGTGGTAGACCATCTTCTCCTAGACACTAGGCCACAGGCTTGAGGCCAGGGTCCAGCTTCAAGAACTCTTCTCTCCCCCTGTCTTCAGGGAAATCCTTCCTAATGCTGGACCCAAAGTCCACTCTGTTAATCAAAGGAATCTACCTGCATCTACCACTTCCAGCACCTGCCTCCTCAATTGACTCACCTTTTAAAAATAATTTTAAAAAAAATCAACAGTTAACCTATTCAACAGTTACTAGGGCCTACCCAATCCCCCAATATGACCATGAGACCATAACAGAAGCAGACACATCCTTTTTCAAGGAGCACAGAATCAATTGGAGGACAAGGAAACGACGCATGGTTGTCAGACTTGGCTGTGGGGACAGATGCTGTAAGTCAGTGGTTCCAGCTTTTTGGGGTCCTGAATGAGAACAGGGCCTTCTGCTGTTCCCAGGACAATATGTATATGTACACTCACTTCACACAATTTCAGGGGTCCTCAGACCTGAGCTCCACCATCTACCCCCTTCTACCACCCCTAGGCTGCAAAGTCCCTTAAGCCCCTGAAGGGTCTGAGAGAAGCACAAGTCCAGCTTGATCTGTCGAAGGGCTGTCTGCCCCGCTGCCAGAAGGCCCAAGGAGAAGGGAATTCTTGCGCCCGACTTTGTAGATGGGGAGGTAGGGCAAGCTAGTCGTTCCTTTCAGGTAGAAGGTCAGAGAGGGTATAAGTTGGCCGGCCGCTGTCCCACCCCATGGCTGGATCCAGAGTGCCTGACTCTAGACGGGACACTGGGCGGACAGAGACAACAGACACCAAAACACGAACTGGACACAGATACATCAAAACTATACACACACGCACCGGCTATGATACATAGGTACGTACGAAGACACAGACGCAGAACTGCACAGATGTAAAAAACGCGGACCCAGCGACATCCAGCCATCGAACCAATCGACCTAAACACAGATTAAAGGGATCCCAATTTCCCAATTCGTACTTGCTAGCGCGCAAACCCTAGCAGCCTGGAGACACACTCGCCGGGGGCGGGGCCAGAGAGGGGCGGGGCCCCCCGGGTCGAGGCGAGGTCAAGGGTCAGAAGGCGGAGGCGCGCCCAAGATGGCGGCCTCCATGTGCGACGTGTTCTCCTTCTGCGTGGGTGTGTCGGGTCGGGCTCCGGTCGCCGTGGAAGTCCGATTCGTAAGCAGCGCTAAGGTGAGGCCGAGGCAGACCCGCCAGGGGCACCTACCGTGTCCGGCCTTGGAGAGAGCCTCGCGGGACCCTAGGCCCGGAGCCTAGAAGCTCCTGAGCCGTTCCGACTCTGCGGCTCAGCCCCTCCTCGCGGCCCGGGGGCTCCCCGTCTGTCCCCGCGCGCAGGCTTCCGGGGCGGTCACGCGGTGAATCGGTGGGCTCGGAAGTCTCCGTAGTCTCCGTGCGCGCCCCCTCCCTACGGGACCCGGTGCGCCCTCCGGCTGCCCTGCTCCTGCTGCTCCAGGCGGGGCCGGGTGGGCGCCGGGCCTTTTGGTCCAGGCTGGAGTACTCTGCTGCTGGGCCGTGGGGGTGGTGGGCGGGGACTGGCTGAGCAGAGGGTAGTGAGGGTAGTGAGTGGGCCCTCGGGGAACTTTCTGAGTGAGATTTGGGAATGGGGTGGGGAGAGAGGCCAGGACCCCTCACAAAGGCCTTGGGATGCTAAGGAATTTGGACTAGAGCTCGAAGCCCGTGGGAGCATTTGAAGCATTGAAACAGGAAAGCAATATGGTTTTGTGGTTATATTATCGTGTTTTAAAAGTTAATTGTAGAAAAATACTCTAAATGCATGTAAGGAAAGAGAAGATAAAAATCACTCGTAATCCTATACTTGTGCAAATATGTGGATACTAAAGTCACAATTTTAGGAACCTCTGTTTGATGCAGCAGGAAATCAACATCAATAAACCTATTTATACATATTTTTAAGAGTTGAGTAATAGTCTGTTTCAAGGGATTGCCACAGTTCATTCAGCCACCTCCTTATTTATGCACTTTTGCGTTGTATTTTATTTTTCATCCCTGAGGGCAAAGGTCCTGGAGCTCAGTTTCTGTGCACACATCCTTTTGTTCTCTTCATCGGAGTATTTTCTTTACTAGTTAACTTTGCCAGTTGATACGTGCAAAATGGTATCACTTTGTTTTAATTTACAAGTCTGTGTTTACTGATGAGGTTGAATAATTTATCATGTATACCAGCAGTGCATATACCTGGTCCCTGCCCAAGATGTCAGCCTTCTAGTCATCTGCCTCCTGCTCTCCCCACCCCAACCTTCCATTGCCTTCTTTCCTCTCCAGTGCATCTGGAGCATTCCTTTCCTTCTGTGGTAAAGCAGCTCCCCAATATCCTTGGCCTCTTCAGCTGCTCACATCTCTGTCTCCACCTCTGTTCTTGATTGGCTCAGTTTGATGGTATCCCAGTTCCATCACTCCTTGCAGGCAGAGACACTGACCTTTCCCTTCACTAAGTCCCCTATCTCTCAGCCCCTCTCTTCTTTATTTCTTCCTCTGACCTCATCACTTCAGCCACTCTGCTTGCCCAGCTGTCCTGTCCCAGCCTTCTGTCAAACCCCACCTCTGGAAGAATGAGCTGGCTGCTCTCTCTATTCCCACACACGATCTTCTGCTGGAGAAAATCACATACACACCCAGACATGCTGACAAGGTGGTTTACTCCAGGCTTTTTGCATCTATGTTCATCAAGCGAGATTGGTTTGTGACGTTTTTTTCTTTGTGCTATCTTCCTCAGGTTACTGCATCACAGTTATGCTTGTTTTTTGGTAAAATGGAGAAGCTTTCCATTTTTTCTCTGTTACTAAATAGTTTTTAAATAGCATGAGAGTTACTTATTCTTTGGTTTGAGGGAGCTGGCTCATGAACCATATGGACTAGGGGCCTCACATGGGGGTTGTTTTTGACTATTTTCTGTATTCCTTCTATCGATATTGGCAGGAATGATCTTTCAAAGATTTACCAACTACTCTGCCAGGGACAGAACATGATACTGTCTGACCAAAGACAGTGGATGCCAACCAGAATGCCATACTGGTGTGGGTCAGCCAGATACCAGCACTGCTTCTTTCTCTAGCTTTCCTTCCTTTTGAATTCAGTTCTGGTAATTTGTATTTTTCTAGAAAATTATCCATTTAGTAAAGCTCTTAAAGTTTACTACATGGTCTTAGAGTTTTGCACAATCTTTTTTCTAAAATTTATTTTTCAAATTGGAAATATCTTTGCAAGTTTATGCCCTTTCCACTCAAGGCATAAGCTTTCTCCAAGCCTCTTGGTAATTAATATTTAATGAGAGTGGCATTCTTGGAACCCTGCCTTATGTTTGGGGGATGAGTGGTTTCATAAAGGAACAGCTCTGATTCTGTTCCCTTTATTTTGATTACCAAATATTTTCTGCATCTGATCCTCCAGAAAGAGAGGGAAAGACATTGATATTTGCCCAATGTTGAGATTTGAGATTGTCAGCGATAATGTGGGTCCATGTTCATACTCCTTTGTCCCATAAAATAAGGCCATGTTTTCATTTTGCCAGATTGGGTCCAGGGCTAAAAGGCATGGAGGTGGGGTTCTAAGAAGACAACCAAGGGTGCATCAACGGCTTTGGCCAGAGGTTTTGTTCCAGCTGTCCCCCTCTGCTCAGGGCTCTCCTGGTCTACACATCCCTGCCTCTCTGACTTTGGGAGGTGCTGCTATCTAGCCACAGTGCCAATGCTAGAAGGAAACAGGGAGCTACCTGAGAGGCCACATGACAGGACGTTTTACTGCTATGTCAAATCTTTTTTTTAATTTCTTTCTCTTCTTGTGACAGTTCAGTGCTGGCAGGGGCACCACCCCTCTTCTCTAAGTGAATAGTGGGAACAAGTGCCCGGCAGAGCCAGCAACTGCCAGGGTTCTGAAGCTGTCTCCTGAGTCCCTTTGCACATCTGAGAAATAGCAATTCAGCAGTTGTTTTCTCATCCTTCATGCCTTACATGATGTTTACAGTGCTTTAGACCAGAGTTCCTCAGACTTTAACGTGCATTTGAATCACCTGGGCATCTTGTTAAAATGCACATTCTCATGCAGCAGGTCTAGGGCATGGCCTGAGATTCTGCATTTCTAACAGGTGTCCAAATGATGCCCATGCTGCCCACTTATCATCTCACTTAGAGTAATAAGGAGCTAAAGCTCATAAGGTACATTCACCTGTGCTTTATCATGGCATCCTGGAAACTACCTGGGAGGTATCATTATGATGCTTTTCATATGTGAAACCATTGCCAAGAAGTGAAGCAACTGGGGTGCCTGGCTGGCTCAGTCAGTGGAGTGTGTGGCTCATGGTCTCGGGGTCATGGGTTTGAGCTCCACGTTGGGTGTAGAGGTTACTTAAATAAATGAACTTAAAAAAAAAGAAAAAGAAAAAGAAGTGAAGCAGTTGGCTCCAAGGTTCACAGCAAGTAGTGTTAGGGTTGGTGCTAGGATTCACCCTTCCTTTCAGCATAACTCTGAGAACTTGGTGAGTTCCCCATCGACCAGGGAGATAGGGCACATTCTCCCACAGGCGAGGCCTCCCTCTCTCCTGTGGCATAGGAGTCCTTTGCAACCCTGAGCAGTGGTGTCACCGCCAGGATCCTGGAGGGACACATGGGTGACTCGAAGAAAACTGCCCTGTCGTTACCGGCTGCTAGTACAGGAGGCTCCAGCCTGCCGTGAGACTTGGCCCTGCTCTGGCCATTCCAAAAATTCTCCTCTGGCTGACAGTGTGGCTCCCTCCCCATCCCAGTCCCTCTGCTCTGAGCAGGCTGAAAGAGATGTGACTGAAAGTAGGTCAGAGCTACATTTCCAGAGGAGGCAGTTGGTGGGCG